ATAATTCTTGGGGCATTTCGAGGTCACCGCGCAGTCCGTCACCGCACCCTTTCGGGACTCCAGAAATTCTGCCTCGGCGCGTCGCCCCGGCGGTTCTGGCCCACCACGCGTCGGAGCCACGCGCTGCCCATGCCCCAGCCCCTGGAGCGTCAACGTCTCGAGCCCGCCCCGGCCTCCCGCCCCGCAGAGGGCCGAGCGACGCGCCAGCCGCGTGCCGGGCGCAGGGTGCCGCTGGGGCCGCCGCCGCGGCGCGCTGAGCAGAAGTTCCCGGCCCCAAAATCTCGGAGGTCCGCGCGGGCTGTCCTCGCTCGGCCTCGTGGCGGCGCCTCCCTTCGCCACGCCTGGCCCGCTCCGCGCGCCAGTGGAGGTCCTCCTCCTCCTCCTCCTCCTCCTCCTCCTCCTCCTCCTCCTCGTCCTCCTCCTCCTCCTCCTCCTCCTCCTCCTCCTCCTCCTCCTCCTTCTCCTCCTCCGCTCCAGGACATCAGCGCGGGGCTCCGAGGGTTCCTGCTCCGGCAGCTTCTGGCGGACGGCGGGCGGCATCGCATGAGCTGCTCCGCCATCGTGGGCCCCCCGCCCCTGGGCGGTTGGACAGCGCGCGCTCCGGCGGCCCACGGTGGCACGTCGGGGCGCAGGCTTCCCGGCCCCCCCCGTGCAGGCATGTCCGACGGTTCGGGTTTCACCGTGCCTCGTCCGCCGAAGCCGTGCCTTCTGCCACCGGCGCGGGGGCGCGAAGATGCCCGCTGCTTCCGCCGCCCTCGCGCAGCGCGTGGCGCGGCGCCGCGCGGCGTGGGCTCGGCTCGGGGGGGGGGGAAGGGCGCGGTGCGGTCGGTCTGCGATCGGGCTGGCGGCCTGGGGACGCGCGCTGCGCGAGGCGGAGCAGGAGCGGCACCTTCGCGTTTTCGACCGCGGCCGCGACGACCGCCACCACGATACCGACGGCCACGGCGGCGGCGGCCTCGACGACGACCGAGGCGACCACCACCACGACGACGTCCCCGACAGCTGCCACGACCACGGACGACGACGACGACGACGACGCCGACGACGCCGACGACGCCGACCGACGACGACGACGACGACGACGACGACGACGACGACGACGACGACGACGACGACGACGACGACGACGACGACGACCGCGAGCACGAAACGGCGAAGGCCGCGGACCGCGGCGGCGAGAGTGCCGCGGCGCCGGCGGCCGGCGGCCGGCGGCCCGCGGCGGCCGCGCCACGAGGTGGATCACGAACGGCATCTTCGCGGACTACTTCACCGTCGCCGTGCGCACGGGCGGCAAGGAGCGCCCGCCCGCCCGCCCCATCGGCCGCTCCCACCAGGGCGTCGGGCCGTCGGTCGTCGGCGTCGCCGTCGGCCGTCGTCGGTTGTCGGTCGTCGCCGTCGTCGTCGTGGTCGTCGTCGTCGTCGTGGTCGTCGTCGTCGTCCTCCTCCTCCTCCTCCTCCTCCTCCTCATCCTTGTCCTCGTGGTCGTGATGGTCGTCGTGGGGTTCTTCGGCTTGAGCGTGACGGTACTCAGCGTCGTGGTCGTCTTCGTTATCGTGGTCGCCGTCGTGTTCGTGGCAGTCGTGGTCGTGGTCGTCGTCGTCGTCGTCGTCGAGAAGCCACGTGCGAGCTGTCTCGGTGCTGGGGCGTGGGCAGCTGCTGTTGCTGCCACTGCTGCTGTTGTTTGCCTTCATCTACCTCTTCCTCCCGACTCCCGACTCCCCCCTCTCTCCTCCTTCTCCTTCGCCCTCCCTTCACCTGTTCCTCATCCTTCCTTCTCCCCTCAACCCTCCTCACCACTCCGTAGTCCTCCCTCATCCCCTCTCCTCCTCTGTCTTCCTCCTCTTCCTCCCCTATTCTCCTCTCCCTCCTTTCATTGCCCCTCAGAATTCCTCACTTTCTCTTGCTCATCCTGCGTTCTCCCTTCCTCCTCCCTGGTGCTGCTGCACCCCGTCCTCCTCCTCCTCCTCCTCCTCCTCCTCCTCCTCCTCCTCCTCCTCCTCCTCCTCCTCCTCCTCCTCACCCCCCCCAGCACCCGAGGCCCTCCCATGCAGCCCAGAAACCGTTGCGCACCACCCCCAGGACTTGCCAGCCTCCCCACCACCACACTGTGCCGTTTTTTTTATACATGCTCCGCGTGCGGATCATGTACTATAACTGCAGGGATTTAGTATTAAAAACAACGATGAGTTCATGCATAATTCTAGTCATAAATTAATCATGTACTAAAATCCTATATGTTTAAAATCCTATGCATTAAAAACTGCCCTGCAATCCTAAACCTGCCCTCTCCCTCATCTGCTCCTGCTGCGCCTCCTCCATCCTGCCTCCTGCACCGTCTCGCCCTCCTCCGGAGGCCTCCGGAGGCCCAACACGGGGCAACATTTGAGTCGGGCCTGTCCCCCTACAGGGGGATTTTCGACGAAGAATAAAATACCCAAAAAATAATCCAAAAATAGTCTGGGGACTAGTTTTTGATTTATTTTTTTTATACCTTTTTGGGGTATTTTTTTTCCGTCGAAAATCCCCTTGTAGGGGGACACGCCGGACTTAAGGCAACATGCGAACCACCCGAAATGTTGATTCTCCCCTCCTGCGCATCTGCCCTCTCGCTCCTCCTCCCCCCTCCTCCTCCTCCTCCTCCTCCTCCTCCTCCTCCTCCTCCTCCTCCCCCTCCTCCTCCTCCTCCTCCCCCTCCTCCTCCTCCTCCTCCTCCTCCTCCTCTTCCTCCTCCCTCCCGGTGTCTGGAGCCCGCGGGGTGCTGAAGTCCGGCTCCATCCTGCACGCAATCCTAGGCGAGAGCATCGTCGGAAAGAAGCAGGAGGGGGGAAGGGAGGAGGGAAAGGTAAGGCGGAGGAGGGGGAGGAGGAGGAGGAGGAGGAGGAGGAGGAGGAGGAGGAGGAGGAGGAGGGGGGAGGAGGAGCGAGAGGGCAGATGCACAGGAGGGGAGAATCAACATTTCGGGTGGTTTGCATGTTGCCTTAAGTCCGGCGTGTCCCCCTACAGGGAGATTTTCGACGAAAAATCAAGAATACCCCCAAAATACCCCCAAAACGCCAAACATATTCAAAAAATAGTCCCCAGACTATTTTTGGGGCATTTTTTGTTTTTCGTCGAAAATCCCCCTGTAGAGGGACACGCCCGACTTAAGGCTACCAGGGAACGAATAATGACATAAACATAGTAACTCGGAGGTCCGCGCGGATTTCTCGGCCCGGCGGCGGGGCGCGCCAGGGGCGGCGCTGGAGGCGCCGCCAGGGGGCCCCAGCGCCGATCCGAGAAATCCGCGCGGACCTCCGAGTTTTTCTGTTTCTGTCATTGTTTGCTCCCCTATTATCCTCACCCGATTCTGTCCTCAGCCCGATTCCTGTCCTCCTCCTCCTTCCTCCTCCTCCTCCTCCTCCCCTCCTCCTCTCCTCCTCCTCCTCCTCCTCCTCCTCCTCCTCCCTCCTCCTCCTCCTCTCCTCCTCCTCCTCCTCCTCCTCCTCCTCCTCCCCTCCTCCTCCTCCTCCCTCCTCCTCCTCCTCCTCCTCCTCCTCCTCCTCCTCCTCCTCCTCCTCCTCCTCCTCCTCCTCCTCCCTCCTCCTCCTCCTCCTCCTCCTCCTCCTCCTCCTCCTCCTCCTCCTCCTCCTCCTCCTCCTCCTCCTCCTCCCCTCCTCCTCCTCCTCCTCCTCCTCCTCCTCCTCCTCCTCCTCACCTCCTCCTCCTCCTCCTCCTCCCCTCCTCCTCCTCCTCCTCCACCTCCTCCTCCTCCTCCTCCTCCTCCTCCTCCCCCTTCCTCCTCCTCCTCCTCCTCCTCCTCCCCCTCCTCCTCCCCCTCCTCCTCCTCCTCCTCCTCCTCTTCGTCCTCCTCCTCCTCGCGTTCTCCCACGGGGCGGCAGCGAGGCTGCGACGGGCGGCGACGGGGCAGACCTTTCGGAGAGCCCGGCCAGCACGGTCTGCGGCGACGGCCTGCGGCGACGGGCGGCGGCCGGGCGAGAGCTGGGAGAGTCCAACCACGTATTCTCGGGGATGGACAGAACCCCCAACAGTGACACGTCGATTAGTGAATTGTCCGTTTTCGGTTTTCGAGAGGGCGCCGTGGCTGTTATTTTCCAGGCTTGCGCTCGCCAGGTTTGGGCCGCAGGTCGTTTTCACTAAACCGCGTTTTGCTAAAGGGGGGTCTGTCCATCCCCGATATTCGGGATGGAAGTGAGAACCTTTGCGCGCTGTCATTCGAGGAAGACAAAAAACGGCATAAACATAAACTGTTGGCGCTCCGCGCGGATTTCTTGGATCTGCGCTGGGACCCCCCTGGCGGCGCCTCCGGCGCCGCCCCTGGCGCGCTCCGCGCGCCAGGGAGGGGGATCCCAGCGCAGATCGAAGAAATTCGCGCCGAGCGCCAAAAGTTGATGTTGATGTTTTTTTTGTTTTAAGATTCTAGTCATAGGTCGGGGAAACACGCAGCCATCGAGTTACATCATCAAGCGCCACCAGATCACCAGACCAGCCCTGCCACAGCGTGCTGCGTTGCGGTTCGAATATGCCCTGAAGGTGATGACTACTACACGTGGGGGCTTCCTTGGCAGGCTTCGAAGTTCCTTGAGGACGACTTGTAATATCATGGCCTCTTGGATTGTTGTTTGGACGCAGTCGCAGTCCAATTTGAACCATCTTTCGCATTCTTGGAGGCCACCTTGGGGTTTGTGGAGCCATATCGGAGCCATCGCAGGCCAAAAGAACCCTCTGACACCTCGCCACCCCCCGTTCAGAGCCAGGGGAGCGGGTAATTGCGGGGGAGGGGTGAACATCTGCCTGAGGGGGAAATGTGGGATTGGAAGAAACTGGAACATTAAACCACCTACGACAAGTGGGCTGGTGGGATTGAGAGTTGGTCGCACTCTGGCCCCGGCCCCGACTCTGGATCCTCCTCCACCGCCATAGCATTTTGAGTTCAGGGTGTCCATTGCTAGCAGTCATTCTCGCTAGCAGTCCGCTAGCATATTGCGGACGCCCTCCGACAGATGGTGTCATTATGTGAGGCGGCCGTTTGCGAGCCATCTGACAAGCACGCGAGGCAGGTTTCTGACGATACCGCCTCGACCGCCGATTCCTCCAGCTGCATGGTGCGAAGGGACGCCGAGGACGGGAAGGGGCACGTCGATGCGAAGTCGCCCCAGCGCACGGGTGCCGACGAGGCTGAGAGCTTTCTCTCAGGCTTCCAATTGCCCTCTTGGTGGAAAGTGGCTGCCTTTAATTACCTTCAACCTCCTTTGTGGGCTGGTCCTGTCCCAGTTGCTTGGTGCCTCCTTGGACAAGCAAGCCTACAAAACCATGCATGAGGTGGTCCACCTATTCACCATGTGGGCTCTCTCTTATATTATGATCAACGTCGGTTATGAGTTCACGGTTGACAAGAGTGATCTGGCGCAATATGGTTGGGATGCTTTGATTGCTATGTCTGCAGCAGGCCTTCCCTGGTTTTTCGTGGCGCTGTGGTTCATGCTGCTCATCGACGGGATAGGGGCCGATCAGGCCCTCCTGGTTGCCCTTTTCGCTGCCCCGACGAGTGCTGGGATCCTGTTCAGCATGCTCGAGGGCGCTGGCCTTCGGAACACATGGGTCTTCAGCAAGGCTCGAATTCTGGCCATCTTCGACGACTTGGACACAATCCTGCTCCTCATACCACTGAAGGTCATAATGATCGGTTTCAAGTGGGAGCTGATGGTTGTGATTGGCATCATGCTGATTCTCCTGACCTTCGCCTGGCGCTACATGCACCGCTTCGACCTGCCTCACAGCTCGCCCTGGTCGCTCCTCTACGCGGCGGTGGTCACGGCATGCTGCTTAGGTGACGAGGTACCACCTGCCCATGGAGGCCATACACATCGAGGTCCTCCTCCCGGCCTTCGTGGTCGGCTGCGTGATCGACACGCCCGGCGCCCGGCACGAGCTGCAGCTCCAGAGGCAGGCAGCCGAGAAGCGCCGGGAGCCCAAGCAGCGCCGGACGCCCGCTCCCGCCGAGGGCTCGTGGGCGCGCCCGCCTCCTGGCCAGCAGGCTGGCGCGCTCCGCCGCGAGGGTGCTGGCGGCGAAGGCCGCAGGAAGGACCTGACGTCCTTCGAGCAGATGGCCGCCGTGTGCCCGCCGGGCTGGGTAGAGGACGAGGCGGCGGCGATGGAGCTCGGGGGTCGGATGGCGAACGGGCAGGTCGCGGACGATGCTCGAGAAGGCTCGGGCGACGTCGGGTGCCCGTCCGAGGCACGTCTGCCGGAGGATGATCGGAAGTCGAGTCACTCGGGAGATGCCGGGCTCTCGAGGCGTGGCCATACCAAGGACGAGTCACACCCGCACGAGAGCGACTGGGAGCAGAATGTCCAGACGGGCATCTCGATGGTCTTCATGGTGCTCGTCGGGCTCTCGATGCCACCGCTCCTTGGGGAGAATGCAAAGGGCAGCTATGATATGGCCCCAAGCACGATCGCAGCACACGTGGTCATGGTGTCGCTGCTGATGGTTCTCGGGAAGATGTTCCCAGCCGTGTGCTATCGCGACGAGGCCTCGTGGAGGGAGCGAGTCGCGCTCTGCATGGGCATGTGCCCGCGAGGGGAGGTTGGAGCAAGCGTCATTGTGATCTCGCTCGAGCTCGGCGTGGAGGGCCCCGCAGTCATCATCTCGGTGTGTGCTCTAGTGATCAACTTGGTGCTCTCGGGCGGCTTCATTGGCTCGGTCAAGCTCCTGCTGAAGCAAGGTGCCGCGGCGGCAAGCCATTAGTCTGCCAGCAGTCCGCAGGCGAGGGGGGCACGTTCAGAAGCTGCCGTGGTGGCCTCAGGCTTATGGTCAAGCCTGCTCGATTGCGCGGAGAGGCCGGCGAAGGCCGCAGAGGCGAGTGGATTTCAGGGCGAAGCGGGCAGCACGAGCGCCTAGGGTGAACGCGTGGCAGTGGTTTCGCGCAGCTGCGACGAGCTCACGCGCGCTGTTTTAGATTCTTGGGCTGCTGGCGCGGTCCGGTGCCGCCACGAGCGCGATCACCGCCAGATGCTCGCGGGGGACGTTTAGCCCCCCACTGGCCGCACGGGCCGCGCTACTCGCCAGCGGTGCTGCTCAGGGAACAGGCAAAGGCATCAGCATACGGTAGGTTCGCGCCGTGTCGACCGGCGGCGACCCCGCCGCGGGCGTTCAACGTTGAACGCCGCCAGCGACCCAGAATCGATCGATGTTGAGCCATCTGACGTTTCGGAGACGGCCGATCGTTCAAGGCTGAACGATCCCCGCGGCGTCACAAGCCAGCGCCGAAGTCGGCACGACACAAACTTGCCGTGAACTTCCAGAGGTCCGCGAGGATCTCCGAAAGTGCATGTTTGTGTCATTGTTTGCTCCCCCAGCTGTGTGGGCATGTGCAGGTTCGCGTCCAGGATTCGCTGGCGGTGGCTCGCGCGCTGTCACAGGGCGTACCTTCGCCAATCCCAATTGGGCTCTTTCCACGGCGGGGCCGCGTGCGTCCTGACGAGCGCGGCGGTTTTGCCACGCGTGGGCGCATGGGCTGCGCCAGCCCCGTTTCATTGGCCACCTTCCTTGCTCCAGCATGAACCCCATAAGCCCTCGGTCATCGTCTTTCCATCGAAGAAGAATAAAAAACGGCATAGACATAAATGTTCGGAACTCCATGCGGATTTCTCGGATCAGCGCTGGGGCCTCCCAGATGGCGCCTCTGGCGCCGCCCCTGGCGTTGGGTCCAGCGCGGACCTCCGAAAGTTTGTGTTTATGCAGTTTTTGTGTTCCCCACATGACAGGTTGGGGTCGTTAGCTGTTAAGAGCAGACCTCCAGGCCCGACCACCTTGCATACCGCGGCTGCCAGATCCCAAGGTCCATTGAGTGTCCCCCGAGACGCCTGCCTCGCGACGACCTGGCCATTCTGCATACCGCGGCCGCCAGATCCCCAGGTCCACCGAGTATTCCCCGAGACGCGAGACGCCCGCCTCGCGCCGACGACGAACACGACAGACCCTGACAGAGCTGAGCCTAAGATTATGATAGAGCAAAGCATAGGAGAACACACAACATGACATAACAGAGCATAACATAACGCAGCATCACATAACAGAGCTTACTGTAGCAATATAGGAGCATAACAATGCACTACACGACAGAGTGGATCATACTGAGCACAGCATAACATCATACACCATAGCATAACAGAGCATGACAATGCATGCAATGACAGAGTGGATCAGACATCACATAAAATAGCACATTACATAACAGCATAACGTGGTGCCGCATAGCATGCACGCCATGGCATAACACATCATAGCATTACATGCCATAGCATAACCTTCCACAATAACGTATGCAATGCCACAGCGCGGCATACCATTTAATTCCATAGCGTAACATAGCAGAGCGCATAACCACAACATAGCAGCGCACAGCATAGCATGTCATACCATAACCTGACACAACGCATCATAACAACACCTGCTAAGTCAGATGCAATTACATACAGAATTGCATAGCACGAACCTTCATCAACATAGCACGCCTGGTCATAAACTAGCATCGCAACATAACACATAGCATAGCATACATGAGCATAGCGGAACGGGTCATACCTTAACATACCATGCCATAACATAACATACCATACCACAGCATCGCCGACCATATCATTACATACCATGACAAATCATACCCTGGCATCTCGCTGTATAGTATGTTATGTAATAGCGGAGCCTAACATAGCAGAACAGAGCACAACATCATGTCATGACCGAACAGACAATGACAGAACGCAGCATCGAGCATACTTTAACAACACAACGCAACGACCGCAACGACTGTACTGCAACTCCATATAATGTATGTTACTGCAGCGGAGCATCTTGACATAACAAAGCATCGCATACCATACTGAGCATAACACGACGTATCGCAAACAACATAAGTTGTCAGAACATACCATGTCCGGTCAGGGCGCCACAGAGCATACATAGCACAATCCATCAAACCATAGTGTGGCAGAAGTGAGCATGACATAGCATACTTTAGCATCAGAGAACAGATGTGAACAGGAGCATCATAACAGAAAGCATTGCACTACAGCCTAATCAAGCGCGACGTGCTCGCCGATGTCAGGCTGGCCACAGGAGCAAACAGGCGCAGCAACGAACGATCGGACGACATACCTATCGTGACAGGCGTCACGGCATCACGCCGGCCCGTCGAGAACACAACATGACATAATACAGCATAGCATATTAGAACATGACGGAATATCACATAGTTGGATACGGTGAAATACAGCAGCGACAGATGAATAGCGCCCTGCCAAACGCAGCATCCTCGTCGACGTAAGACTGGCCACAGGACAAAAGTAATAGTAGCAACGAGTGATTCGCCGTCTCGCCCCCCCGCCGAGAGCAGACCAGAACAAACCAGACGCGCATAGAACAGAACATAACAGAACAGAGCGCGATAGAGAAGAGTGCAACAGCGACCGAATAATGGCGCCTTATCACACGCGACATGCGCGACGAGCTCAGGTTGGCCACAATCACAAGCAGTAACATATTGCGGGAACAAGCGCCGAACGTTTTGGTGGAGATCGCTCGGAGCACCATAATTCATTTATTCCAGGAGCCTCCGTTGTGCGTTGTGCGCGCGACACGTGTTCCAGGGTATGCGGAGGTGCGGCATCATTGCAGGTGTTGCCCCCCGTTCTCTTCGCTGTGCATCTCTCTCTCTCTCGTTCCCTCTCTCTCTCTCTCGCTTGCCTTCTCCACCGCCGTGCTCACACTTTGCAGCTGCGCCTTTGAAGAGGTATGCAGAAACGGTTTCACGCTTGCCTCACTGAGTTGCATTGTTGTTCTGGTGTCCGTTATTTCCTCTTGCCGGCATGATTGGTGTCCCCAGTCACGTAGGGTAGTTTATGGTACTTGTTTGGTTCAGCTGTGCTCCCGTTCGCTTGTGGCACCACGGCTGCGGATGCTTTTGCGGCATGTTGCCCCTCTCGCCTTCTCTCTCTCTCTCTCTCTCTCCCTCTCTTCCTGCCGCGTGGTCGGGACCATCGGCTCCCCCTCCTTTTTTGCCTCCACCTCCCCTGGCCCACCAGCTCGTCTCCGCCCCCATAGCTCCCGCGCCGGCACGCCTGCGCGCGATGCACGCTCCCAGGCGGGCCGCCCTCCGGGCGCCCCGCCCGAATTCGCGGCGGCCGTGCTGCCCGTCCAGGGCCGCGGCCGCCTCCCGTGCCGTCGGGCCGGGGGCCATGCGTGCCCTATATCGGAGGGCACCAACTACATCCCCAGGACGAAAGTTTTTTCCTCTTGGGCCCGGAACGAAGGTTTGAAGTCTGAAGCAAACGCGTGTGAGATACCCGCCGTCGGATCCAATGAAAGTCGCGCGGATCCAGTTTTGGTTTTGGTGTGTGTTTCGGTGGATCCGATTTCTGCCCGCGCGGATCCGATTTCGGATTTGCTGGATCCGTGTTCGGTCTTATTTTTCACGGCGGATCCGATTTCTACCCTGTTTTAAATTTATTATTAATTTTAAACAGGGAACCGGAAGAAATCGGATCCGCGGACCCCGCAAACCGCCCGTGTTAAGATTCTACGGGGGATGGGGGTTCGGTAATTAATTCTCCACGATGGGCGTTGCGTCGTCTCGCGCACACCCATCAGCTCCCCGCGCGCGCGGGTCCCATTCGAAATGAATACATACATCCCTCTCACCCCGGTTGCTGCAAACTGCTCGTCTGGTCGCCGTCCGTTCTGGCGCCGACGTTGTCTTGTGAACTCCTCATGGCCATTTGCACGTCAAGAGGAAAATCTTTCGTCCTGCGTAAGTATACACCAACACCGATCCTGGCCAGGATCGGTGTTGGTGTATAGTTGGTGCCTTCCTACTATAGTCGGGGGACGAAAAGATACGGATACGTGTTGTCCCCCTTCGTGTTCGGCCTTTCCTGGTCCTCCTGGGGGATCCTTGTTGTCCCCGCTGGATTCGCCCCGAAATGCTGGTCAGAACGCACCCCAAGAGAGGTCCGGGGACAACACGTATCCGTATCTTTCCGCCCCCCCAACTACCCAACTATAGGGAGGCAAGAGCGGGCACGGGCAGGACGAGTCGTGTCGGAGGCCTCGAGGTTGACGCCAGCACCAATGTCGGCGCCGCGTCGCCACCGAGGGAAGCGTGGCCCCATCTCGGCGGCGGTGGTGATGTTCTGGCTTCCCAGGCGGCCGCAAGAGTGCCACCAACGCCGAAGTCTGGGATCATCTCCCCCTGGTGGAGGCAACGCCCTGTGTTGGTGTTGGTGTCAGTTTCCAAGCCCCCAATCGTAGCCTCCCAGGGGCGCGTGGGGCAGCCGTGGGACGTGGGATGGGAGGCGTGGAGCGGCTCGAAGGCACGAATAGGCGCCTTCAGTGCCAGCCGATCCCTCCCGAGCCGTTCCATGACGGGCCCGCTTTCAACCACCACCACCATGAGCTGGAGGTGGGAAGGAAGTGGGGGACGAGGACGAGGACGAGGAGGATGAGGAGGAACACGACGAAGAGGAGGAGGAGGAGGAGGAGGAGGAGGAGGAGGAGGAGGAGGACCCCCTCCCCCTCCAACGTGTGGGGGTGGTGGTGGTGGTGGTGGAAAGCAGGCCCATCATTCCAGAGTTCGCCACAGCGCCGAGGGCCTCGGGTGTCGGCAGGAGAGCGCCGCGGGCGGAGCCCGTGGACGGTGGTGGCCAGGCGGGGCCGTCCACGTGCCACGGGCACGCCACGGGTTTTGG